CACCCATTGGGTTTTCCCCAGCTTACATATCAGTTGGAATCCATTGAGTATCATGAAATTGACAAAAAGATAGCTCAAGAAATACAGAACAGAATGCCAAATCCAGTGAATAGACTAAGAGAAAGTCTAAGCTATTCTAGAAAGTGCAAAATGTGAAGAAGCAAACAAAAAATAGAGGAAGAATAAGAAAATAATTTGAAAATATTCAGGATATACTTCTCAGAACTTCACTCGTTGGGTAGATCACACACATAGGAAAGCCCTTCAAAGTTATTATTCATTTTAAGTATAACTTTCCTTTCCTTTCTTTTCGGAAAGGAAAGTGAAAGTATCACCCCTAATATCTGGTTCTAACTCAATTTATAAATATATTAATTTTTTGTCGCTTTTCTCAAGTGTGAAATTTTCGCGAACAGTGCTAATTCTGGGAAAATTGTCTTTTGATCACCAAAAAATATAGATTTGATCACCAAAATGTGCTTGTTGCGAAATGATCACCAAAAAAGTATACATTAGATCACCAAAATTTTTTCTTGCGAAATAGTTACCAAAAAAATATATATATGATCACCAAATTTCTAATTTGGAAGATTGTGACAAGGTTACTTATTTTAATTAATACATAATGCACTTTTATTCAATGAATTTTTATCTCATAAACTAATTAATCCATCGGACGAGGTTAATCAACAATAATCTCGTTTGATAAAAATAATCTTATTAACTCAGAACAATTATAAAGGATGTCTCAGTGTCATCAAGATTCAGAACATTAGAAAATGACAAATAATCAGTGGACATTACGTTACACAGTGAAGTCGTATGATGAAGCAAGAGATATCGTAAAATCTCAATTTAATGTATGCCAATATAGACGATCAGATTTAAATAAATATACCAAATATTCATTTAAATGTAGTGAATATAGAAAGTATCCCTTATGCAAGTTTCAAATAAAAGTTATTTTTCCTGATGATAATACAGATTAGATAAAAATTATGTCTCGAAATGTACATGAACATGGTCAAAATGAACGGAATCCAACAACACGTTTACCATCTCCAGTTCGTGAATCGGTATCTAATTATGTTAAGTCTATTTTTCTATTATTAATTAATTTGTTGATCAAATCTATATTTTTTTGGTGACCATTTCGCAAGAAAAAATTTTGGTGATCTAATGTATACTTTTTTAGTGATAATTTCACAAGAAAAAATTTTGGTGATCAAATGTATATTTTTTTGGTGATCATTTCGCAACAAGCACATTTTGGTGATCAAATCTATATTTTTTGGTGATCAAAAATATTCATACCCCTAATTCTCACAGTGAGGATATTAAAATATATTAAAATACTTACCTTATATTTGTTTGCTGCAATCAATGATCGTACAACGGCGCCTCCTTGAGCACCCGTAGCTCCAACTACAGTTACCAAACGTTTATGAGCCATTATATGTTGTGTGTCGAAAATGTAGTGCTAAAAAAACTGCATACATCATTATATATACATGAGCAGAATAGTTTTCTTTTTTCCTCCCTCATGCTGACACAGCAATAAAAGCTGACGTTCGAATCGTACGTTGAGTAACGTGGTGATGTAAGAGAAAGAACGAGCAAGTGTATGTGATGGATTGAATAAACGAGAAAAAGGTCAAGGGAATAAAAGAGATGGAAGTCGACGCATATGTAGAGAAAAGAACAATTCATATAAATAATAAATTTGTCGTTTGATAGTATAAGATAGAATAATATAAAAACTATGGTAGCAAAAGTATTTATCAGTTTATTTAATGTTTGAATTAATATGCGTTACATTTCACTGTTATCAAGAACATTCTCATACCAAAAGTAAGTAAAACAAACAATCCATTGTTTTAATAAAACATTCAAGAGTATAACATGATCGATGCCACAACTTCTTTCGTAGAGTACAACGCTATTTTCTATGGAGGACAAAGCTACTGATGATTCGGATATTCTCTCAAAGTAGATTTTCAAAGGGATGAAACGAAATGTGAGGTCGTTTTCGGTCTATGTAGAATAGCTATGATCTATGTCAGAATGGACATTGAAAGTTATATGCAAGATGCGTTTATCAGTATAATAAAAATATTAGGTTCTTTGAATCTAATACATTGCAAGTTTTTATTTGGTTACATATGATGATGGTATCTGACATAGATACCGAAATATCACGTGATGAATTGAATATAATATAGTTGTTCTTATTAATATATTTTAGAATTTTATTACTTGTCTATGAAAAAATCTTTTTTATAAGATTAAAGAAATTTTATTTATGTATAGAAGCATCTGTGTACAACAAAGATATTCAAAATAGTTTCATGCGAAGAGGATATGGCCCAATTGGTTCATATATTCAACCTATTCTAATAGAAAGAGGAATAAGTAGATGTCATATCTATTCACTTCCATATCAATTCGAACATTTTTTTTATCTAAACAATTATTTTAAAAATTGCATATTTGATAAAGTTGAATATTTAATGATGATGGACTTACATTCTTTGGAACATAAATTCTTCAAAATTATCTCTGACGATTTTTGTTTTTTTAAATAATTACATTAAAATAATAATAAACCAGAAAAAGAGAAGCAACAATCATCAATATTGATTATATTTCGTCATCTTGTTATTCTGGATCTGATTGATGCTCATATAGATTATGCTGAACAATTTATCTCGTTTTTTGTAACTTTGAATTCAATATGAATAATCACTCAGAATGATCTACTAAGAATTTTACTAACGATGAATTACGTCTAACTTTTAGTAAATTGAAATGTCTTGAAATCCATGAACCATTTGTTCGTCCAACAAATTTTCTCGAATATTTTCCTTTATTGTAAATATTAATTTTATTAAAAATTCTTTCAATAAAAGTAATTTCTAGGAAAAAATAAAATATATTTCAATCATGCTAACTAATTAGATTAAACTAGTTTTAACAAAAAGGAAAATATTTTTTGTTATGCATCGATGAAGAAGAATTTTATTGTTACTTATTTATAGTTTAAAGAATAAAGCATAACATAAATCAATGAAACATTTTAACATGAAAGTGAACATGATTTAATCAAAATAATTATATCAAATTCATGTGACATTCTCAACCTCAAGTAAAAAAAATAACAAATTATGAAATATTTATCATAAATCTAAATAGTATTGTGAGTAGGCGGCATCTGACACTTTTTTTTCTTGTTCTGATTCCGGTAAGAAATGTAACGAGACTGAACTTATCAGTCTCAGTCAATCTCGCGTTAATACTTCCAATATGTTCAATTGTTAAAACGTTTTTAATACGAATAAAAGTCGTTTATGAACTGAATAGAATAATCTTCTAATATAAACACATGAGATTATGACAAGACACCTCGAATACTTATTACTACGGTTTTAAATCAATGTTACAGTTTTAGTGTAAATTATTCAAATAATATAAAACTATCAGCTTTTCCACTTTGTACTTTTTCTAAAGTCTTTGTAATCGTGTAGAAGACCTTCAGAAAGGTTTTTCTGACAGATGAACATAATATTACGGTCTGAAAAGTAGAATTAGATTTTAAACAAAAACGTCTAACTATTAGAAGTAGATAGTTCTTAGCAATCTATAACAACTCTTCACAGTCATATTCGAAAATATTTTAAGAATCAACTTGCACTGAACAAAAAAAAACGAACTGGTTATTAATCAAATAATATTTATTAAATGAACAAATATTATTTTAGTTGATTAAACTGAATTAACTCCGGATATTATTTTTATTTTTCAATGCGGAACAAAGTATATTAATTTACTGTTCATTCACAAAAAAAAATATTGATCATTTAATCAAAATACTAAAATAGGACAAAAAAATTTTCTATCGAAAATAAATTTTTTCAACTTTCAAAAATAATTTCATTACTGTCGAACGAAAACTGCAACACAATATATAAAAGAAATTCTTATTTATACGAGCTTAACTCTTCATTCGTTTGTTCTCTAATGACGAATGAAAATAGAAAATGTTTAGATCTAATATTCGATATTGATATTATACTCAGATTTGTCTCTATTTTAACTAATACAATAAAAAACTCAACTCTTTATTCATACAATTATTCATCACAATAACATTTTCAAATAGTTTCGTTTTATAATCAATATATTAATTTATATTTAGAATATTAATATTTTATTAACATATGTTTATTTCTATTGCAGACCAACAAATATGATCGAATTTTTAAAGAGAAAGAGAAAGAGAAAGAGAAAGAGAATCTATGTAATACTGAGAACATTGACAATCTAAATATTTTCTGACAAAAAAACTTTATTTAAAATAAAATGAAATACTTGAAAATTATTACGATAATTGAAATATTCTCCCTACAATAACCAAACACATATCAATAGAACAACAAACATTAAACACAAATATCCGAATATAGAACAATTTCTTTAAACTTCAAAAGGAAAAAAACATCAATAATAAAAAGTAATAAGATAATCCTCTTATTCAAATACTATTTTAAGTTTGATTTATATAAGTTACATCAAGAAGAAAAATATCAGTTTATTGTTAATCTATTGATAATAATTCATATAAATCAGTACTATTTTTAGTAGAATATCTATTATCACTTAAGAATGAAAGATGTATTTTCTTTTCTTTTTTTCTTCTTATTTCATATTTATATTAATATTCATACTTTGTTGTATGTCTGTGTTCACTGTGTAGAGGTTTTACTATAGAATAGTTTCATTCTTAGTATATGTTTTAATCGATTTAGCTGAATCGATTTGAAACCATTTATTTAAATAAACTCATGTTTATTTCAGTTATAATGCATATTGAATTTAGTTGTTATCTTCTATATAAATATATGATGCTTTATAGAAGATGGTCATTTATCTCATACTCATGTAAAACAGTCAAAAAGAACGTTATATTTTATTTTATAAAAATTAATAAATCTTAATTAGAATGGCGTTAGTTCAATTTCGAGAGAATATTTAACAACAATTCGTTAAATGTCAAATGTAAATTTTTCTAGAATTTAGACGGATTTTATTTGACTTAAGTAAATATTTCAAATTCTATCAATCGTATATTAACATTAACAATGGTTTAGTCAACAAAAATAAACTAAAATATATATATAAG